CCTAGGCAACAATAGGAATATGATGTCACTCTTCGAAGAATAACGCGCCTGCACTAGTAATAGTAATTGACGCCGAAAGATAAAAGACACGCTTGACAGACGGTGATCTTTTGAAGACATATCAATATAAAATCCAGAAAAACACGAGGGGAACGTCCTCATACGGGGATCTAGTGATGACCGAGGACGGTCAGTATTATAGTGAGGGGGAGATGATACGGAGTGTAACAATACACCCGTAAAAATGCGAATTTTAGCGATTTCTCCTATAAAACCTCCTATAGTAGAAATACAGTCACATTGATCATAAGGATCGTTAGACGCAACCCGGTCTAGTCGATTAAAGTTTACATCCGAGAAATGTGCACGCCTTAGACAGTAGGAATTGCGGTCGGTTCGTGACCGAACCACCTCAATATACTCGAAGTCTAATAAAAGGCTACACTACCATGAAATAGTACGCTACCGAGTGTTCTAGAGTAAAAACACCCCCGCACAGGGTGTTGGAGTTTACACCAAACCAGGGTCTCACTTTATTATGGATTAAAAGATATTAATTCTAAAAGATAAACGCGCGAGCGTAGAAACTCGACGCGTACCTGACGCAAGAAGTCATTCGGTCACGTGCTACGAAGCATGATCCAAGAAGTCATGTGGAGAGACGCATCACGCGCATCACGCGCATCACGCGCATCAACACATCACAAATCATGGCATCATTGACCCAAGAAAACTAAGCTTCGTGAAATATTCCGAAGCCTGCCAAAAGAGAAAAAACTATGAACGATTGGCCGTGCGGTCCGAGGCCCGGGCATAGTATCTAATAATAGAGAGAAAATCACTAAGCGGACCGTTCGTCTCGGCTGAACCGATCGTGAAAACCGTTTACGGCGATTCCCGTGTACGCATCAATACTGATGCGTCGCGTCGCCACAATAGAGAAAACACTACGAAAACTTAAAAGAAGTCAGCTCAGTTGTGCCACGCACAATCGAGCCACTTCAAACCTTTACTAAAAATTCAGTATTAATTCGTCCGACCTCTCGGACAAAGCACGGACATATAAATATAAATAGAAGACATAGAATAGTATAAAAAGAGGACGCGCGCAGGCTGAAACGCAAGGAATTATCCCCCGCGTTGACCAGCTGTCGCACTCCCAGTAGCATCTGAGGTAGTGGATAAGTTTGTAATCAATTTAAGGACTTTTCTTCGCAGACATAAGTAACGTGTGCCCGGAACCAGTGTGTTAAGTGGGGATCACAAAGCTTTTGTAAGGTTGTCTCGTCAATTAGTAAGAGAGCTCTCTACTATTACCGAGGAATCCAAGTGAGCGTGCTTGAGGAGTCTTTAAGACTAGTTTGGACCGCATCAGAAGCATAATAAAAACTCAAGGGAGTTATAAAAAGTCTACAAAGCACAATTTCCTTGTCATTTCTTCGTATACAGTTAGAGCGCAATCCCAGAACACTGAGACAGTCCCAATAAAAGCCGTTTCCCTTCAAAGACTACTAAAGTTTCGAATTCTACACTGTGTCCGCACGTAAAACAATACCTTTTGTTCCGAAAAGGTCTACTAGACTTAGACAAGTGATATAAAATATACAAAAACGTTTCCCCGAACTTCTACTTAAGTTCTTACAAAACAAGTGTGGTAATTCTGTTTACCGTACGAACCCGAACTCGAAGTACCGAGCACGTACCTGTGGTGATAAGTGTTTAAGGTGTTTGTGTGTGTGTGTTGTTTAGGTGTTCACGCATCTTGTCAGCGCGTCCGATTGCACTATTCTCACTCCCGCGTGCCACGGTCTTCTCAACATGGCACACCGTCGCAGAAACTCTGGGGATCGCCAGATCTCTGTGTATTTCAAGATCTGTTGCTTGAATCGCTCAAAACGAATATCATCTGAGCATATCCAGCTGCAAGGTGCACCTGGAAAAATCGCAGCATAGTGCAAAAAATCGTTAGCAAGGTGCCGTCCAAATCCTGAGAATACTCGAGTGCTATTTTCTGCAATGACATCGACAATGGGTTTCGAAAAGCCAGAGGCATATTCACAGACCCCATCACGCCAGTTATTGAGAGCAATCAGAGCAGCCCCTCGCTCAAGAACCCAATCCGGACCATCTGGAAATGTAGTCCAGATGAGTGGCCATTCCTACAGGTCATCGTAAAATAAAGCAAGCAGGTATCATACTCTGACTCACCAGAGACCCGACATCAAGATCTGCCTGCGTCCAATGTTGATCCTTGCTGATGACATGCATACGCATAAGACGTGCAAAGTCAGAGAATACAATAGCAAATGTATCAGCAACAATAGCCGCAAAGACGTTAATCGTTCGCTTCGCCTTTGAAGATGATCCAGGCTCAATAAACTGAGGGGGTGTCACAAAAGAGCGCATTCTGGACGCCTTGGTTCTATCAGGATTTGAGCCAGGGCAGTCGTTCTCGATGAGCTTAGTATAGTCGGCATGAGACATGATTGTGACCTTGGCCTCCAAGCCAAGGTGAAAAACGGTAAGATGCTAAAGAAAATCAGAACATAATCATAAAGTGATGATACCCAAGAGATACGTACATATCCCACCCCTATAGCCAGGCATTTTCCTCGTCTAGCCAAGCATATTTGCCCAGAAGATAATCTCCGATTGACGAGGTAGGCCCATGGTTGCCTAGAGGCTCGCTGAAGGTCAAAATGATTGGGAACATAGTCATCCATAGGCTCGAGTGATTCAGTGTAGCGGGAATTGTGGACAGAGATACTGGAATAGGGCTTGTTCTTTGTACCCAAGGTAAAGCACCTGGAGAAAAGCCGGATATAAGCTTTCGACCCAAAAGTAGGATGAGATTAGTGTCCATAAGTAAGATAGTCAAGTTTGACCTTACCTAGAGGCGTCGTTCCGAGCTTCTTCGCTTCGGCCTTGATTTTATTGAAGACTTGGTGAATTACAACGGAAACCTCGCCATCTTCCGGCATGATGTGAATGTGTAGAGTGGAGATGGATGGGTGGTAGAAGGGTTGAACGTGTTATGCGCGACGCGACTTGCAGTAAACGAACCGTGTTTAAGCAGTCACGTGTCGGCCCGTACCAGGGTTTCATTGTTGCGCGCAACCTCCGTAAAAGTCATTTAAATTGACTGCTATGTTATGGTAGACAGTACATATGTTTACCATTGACACCGACCTTTTCAAAGATCTGCGTGACACCTGCGATACCTGCGATCCTTTTGGAGTATCTGTGAGACGCTTGCGGTCACCTGCGAGTTGGCGGTCCGCAGGTGACCGCAAGTGGCACGCAGATTTCTGTATGCCCGGCACGTAGGAACCTGACGTCACAATGAGTTTTGAAAAACACTTTCGCTCGTTCGCTTGTACCAATGTTTTCCCACAAATACAAATGTGTATAGCTCTGGATTGAAATGGATAGCAGTGCGAATAAGTTGGAAAATCGAAAATTTGGCAGGTTGAACATGAGTCTGAAAGGGCTGGGGCACAGCCACGTAATAATGTTGGCCGTCACGCGTCACGCGTCGAACCTCAGTTGACGACTTTCCGCACCATGCACGTGACTTTGAAAAAGGAAATTGTTTGGCATGCTTTGACATTTTGCCCTTTTGAGCAAGTTGTTCAAAGTCCTTGTGAACTGGCTTGATTGCAACACGCGCCGATTGAACGCGTCGACGCATGTTCTTAGTTTGGTCCATAGAGTTGAAATTTTTGAAAGATACATTTAGATTACAAGATTGCGAGTACTACATAAAATCTCTACCTCAAAGGTTCACCTTTTTCCGTAGCATACCAATCAAGATATCATTTGTCCCACGAGCAGGTATTTGGTGATAAAAACAGAGTTTGTTCAAATCCGGCCGTTTCAGCGTCTTCAAGGTGCGAAGGTCTCTCAGATCAAATGTTGCAGGGCTGAAGGCTACAGATGTCGCAGAAGATGACGGCAGTGGCACACAAAACGTGAATGGCAGAACAGATCGTTCATCTGCCCTTGAGATGGGGGGGATCGGTTGCGAATGCTCGAGAGTAAGGGGGGAATGCTGCATTTGAGCAAGGATAGGAGCGATAGGCATGGGAGCGGGAGTGATGGGCACGGTGCTTGCCAATGGAGGGGCAGAATGCGTAAGAGTGGGAATAGGCATGTCGCGGATGGCAGACTGTGGCATGGGAGTGGGTATGGAAGCAGCAGGCATTCTTATTGAGGAAGGTGTAGAAGGGGGAATGGAAGTGGCAGGCATGCTTGTTGAAGACGACGTAGAAAGGTGAGGGATTCAATTCGATACGAGAATACTTGGTACACACCTTTGACTTGGCTGATGTGCATCACGTTTGGCCTTCTTTCCTGGCCGCTCCCCGCCTGCATAAGGATCCGTGTATTTTGTGCGTTTGCTCTTTACTGGCGCCGACACCATCACGGCTTTCGTTTCTGGCCATGAGTGTTGATTAGGTGCGACGTTTTTCTTTCGAGGAAGGATGCGGTGGCCCATATCATGTTGTGCGATCTCAGCCCCAATGTTATCAACATGTGGTTCGAAGATATCGAGCGTTTGTTGGGATAAGGAAGGGTTCGCTTGGAGTTTCAGGATGAGGCTTGATAGCTTGTCGATGAGATTCTTCACCCTGTAAGTCATGGCGTTCTCGGCGTTCTCAACATGCGAGTCGAGCTTGCTGCTGCTTGAGTATTTGCTAGGCTCTATCGGGTTTATGGAATCCACGCAATGAATCGAAAGTGCTGAAACTGGGAGTGCATGACAAATCTCTGGGTATTTGCGTTGAACAGCTGCAATGTGCTTGCAGAAGCAAATGGCAGGGAACGATAGGCAGTCACAATCATATGCATCAAGATCCACACGGTAGCACACATCAGCCTTCGATTGAGACTTGACAATATATATATCTGCTTCAGAATCCGGACTAGGACTGATGTCTGAGTCGTCAATCGTTGATGCACGTTTTTGAATCTCGAGGCGTTTCTTCATCTCGAGGTCAGGGCCCGCAAATCCAAATTCCTGCCGGTGATGTCTAGCAATAAAATAAGGAATAGCCCGCTCAACCAACAGATAGACGAGGTGATCAAGCCGCCGATTTCGTTTCCCCTGCATGAAATCACCTTTAAGAATATGGTGCCACCTGAACAAAGGAAAATTAGAAAAGGGAAAGAGATATTTAATCGAGAAATCGAACTCACGCTTCAACGAGCATGTTTGTATCACATTTCTGAAAGATTGTGCGACCTTTACGGTAGACTGCTGACCAGTACTTGACAATCTTCATCCAATGATCTTTGAGATATGTTACGACACTCTCAGGTGCTATTTCCTGGATCTTCTCCCAGTAATCTTGAAAAAATTTATTACCATCAACACGGAGCCACTTTTGCAAGAGCTCCCATAATTCTGGGAAATTTGCGGTATTGAAGTGTTGTTGCCAGGAATGAAGGACGTGCCACCAACACAAAAGAATAAATGCCTCGCCATAAATAGACGAAATTGCATTCAGTTGAGCCTTGTCATTATCTGACATAAAATACTCAGGTATAGTCGTTGGATTCTGCTTGCGTATACATTTGAGAAAATAGGAGATTGTGTCTTCAGTGGCATTGGACGAGATCATCCACGCGCACGGCATTCCTAAAAAAATGAAGTTAGTAAATACAACGTATCATTGAAAGGTTTGAACAAACCTTGGCCCCAACGATCTCGCGCAAGGAGAGTGAACAAACTCATATTTTCGTAGTGTGTTGTATTGTGCGTCGCGTCAAGCCCTGCAAACGGTCCGCCGTAATTGTCCCAACACTCACGTTGATATTTAGTTTGAATGATAAGTACAAACACGTCCTTATCAAGACCCGAGCCCTCCGGTGGAGCATCAGAGCTCGTCTTAAGAACCACAAAATGGCCGCGGTCTCGTAAAACTTGAGCCCACTCTAATACTGAGTGACCGTCTTGGGATGCGAGGCGAATTGTCTCTTCCTCAATCATTTTTTCAATTCGACGTACGTCAGCGCGTGTTGCAAATTGACTTCGACGTGTGTTGAAATCTTCAGATTTCAAGTTGGGTAGGTTATCCTCGGAGTATACTTGGCCCTGAACTTGATTGAGCTACACGCAGATAGTACCTGCATCGGTGTCAAGCTACTTCGGGAAATCAATGAAGGGACTAACCACTTTGGCAGGATCAACCCCCAATCGAAGGAGTTCCTCAATCTCGCGTCGTGTTGCTTCTGGAAGCCGCGTGAAACGTGTATTCTCCTTTCCAATTTCATGGTTATGTGTACTACTGTACATGCCGAGCACTTCAGAGATGCCCACATAAGTCTTGATGGTCAAACGGCACAGGCATTTAGTACTCTTCGGGGGGAGTTTTCGCTCATATTGTGAAGGTTTCTTCTTCTCATACTCCTTTTTACCACTCTTTGCAGCCCTACCGCACCGGTAAATCTTCTTTACACACCACAAATCAGATGAACTTTCTTCAGGGTACGAAGTTCCGTGAAGGGGTAGTTCAATGACTTTCTCCTCCTCCTCACGACGTAGCCAAGCATCCGCACTTGCAAGATCAGGCCAAGAGAAGGTATACCCATGGCTTGAGTCATATCGAAAGGACCCCGGACGGTTGGGGTCGCGCGAGGGTGGAGACGCGTCGTGATTGGATGGCAACGCGTAATGATCGGACGCGGACGTGCCAAGTGATGCCGAAATGGTAAAGGGTGGGAACGTCGCGTCGGGGGTGGCGTTAGGCGCGTTATGACTTGAGGATGTCAGAGACGATGGTGACGAGAGCCTGAATGTTGAAAAAGACATGATTGAGAGGACCAGAATACTCTGCCATTGTGCAATGCAGCTCAACATAATGTGGCCTTTTGGTGGCCTCGAAGCGTGAACCGAGCCAGGATTTGACCAAGATTTGAGAGATTTGTGTGTTTATGTAAGGTTATCTACATTTGGAGGTCATGTGCGTGGTGCGGAAAGTCAAAAACTTCGAACCTCAATGTCACCTGCGCCAATATCGTTGTCTCATGACTCGCGCATAGCTAGGTTGATATCCGTGAGTCACAGCTGATTGCGAAACGATAGAGCAGCTCGGCTCCTGTTCCAGCTCAGCCATTTCTTTGTTTGTTGATCAGCAGCTTCCTAAATGAGCCAAAATGTGAGCACGTGCCTGGTTCAACTTTTCCCAATCTTATTTACATACCCTCGCCTCTCCATTTCCTCGAATAATAATGGTGCGGGCTTGTCATCAAAGACACATCCCAGAACTTGTGAAGGAAATCCTTGTTACCAAATGTCCTCAAAAGTAGTGTTTGGAAGTCCGGTCTCGTGACTGGAAAAAGACCGTAACCAGACCGGACCAAGACCGCAAAAGACCGGACCTGCGGTTATGGTCTTTTATTTTTGAAATGTAAAGACCGCAAAAAAACCGGTTAACGTGAACTGGTCTTGACCGGTTTGGACCGGTCTTTTGTAGCCCCTTAAATACCCTTTAAAACGCACCCAAGAACATACGATTTGGTAAAAATACGAGAGAGATATGAATTAAAATGTAAATTACTTTTGGGAATAATAGATGTACCAGACTTATTTTATAGAAGCACCAATTCCTAACGGAATTTAACGTTCTTGGGCTCGTTTTGAAGCTATTAGAGATGTTAATAAATTTACCGATTCATCATATTAAAATATTGGCCTAAAGACCGATCATAAACCGGTTAAAACCGATGCAGACCGAAACCGGTCTATAGACCGCAGAAAACTGCGGTCTGCGGTCTTTTTGCGGTCCGGTCTGGTCTTTTGACTTCTGGGGAAAAGGCAGACCGGTTACGGTTACGGTTAACGCCCCTGGGCATCAAAAAACCGGACCGAACCGGACTTTCAAACACTACTCAAAAGACATATCGATTCGGTTTATTTGGGCCACAAACAAACACACGGCTGAGCTGGAGCGGGAACCGAGCTGCTCTATCGTTTCGCAATTAGCTGCAATACACAAGAGCTCCAGTTCAGGCTAGGAGATAACTTAATTAACAAAGTGTTGTAACCTCGCCAAGCCAAAGTAATTCAATCAGGTGTACTATCTTGGTACTATCCGGTCCTTGGCTCTCAGAATTGCGACATCATATGCCTTGCAAGCGACACTTGAAGTTGAAACTCAGATGAACATTCGCACTGTCTGCTTATATTTTATGAATCAATGGCACTTTGAACCCCAGATCCTCTTCCAAGTTGCAGAGGATTTTCCCACCACCTAATTTTATGGGGGGATTGATTACAGCTGATTCCGAAAAGGTTGTCACTACGTGATTTTTTTGCAACGCATCAGCAATATAATATATGAGTGATATATTAGCTGAACAATCAGGGATATGTAGGGCTAAATCGGTGATTTCAGATTTCACGATTGATGACTAATCCAATGAAAGGTTGCAGCGAAATAGTATTCTCAACTTTTATCATGGGGGGAATAGTTAGAACATACAATTTTAGTACCTATGGAATCTCTTGAATCTGCTCTACCATATCATGCAAAAATCCAGAGCACCAGCCATTTCTTACTTACAATATGGTGGAAAGTGAGACTAATCACACGTTCGTCCTGTTGTTCCAGAGATGTTTCCTCCTGAGATGAGGGGGATTGGGGGTGGAGCTTGAAGTTTGTGCAGCCCATGTCAACCACAAGTAGTACAAGATCGAATTTGTGCAGACAACTGTAAAAAAAAAACAATCAAATAACAATGCAACTATGTACTGGTGTGTGGAGAAACACTGAAATGAGCTTTGAACATTGAATGCAGAGAAATATTACTCCTCATGTATTGGCATTCCACTCGCTCTTCCAAGTTGGAGCTGTTGGACCCATTCGTCATCGACATCACTTCAATGCCGCTTTCAACACGAGCTGCAATAAGTATTTGCAGCTCGCTTCTGTCATTTGAGCAGTGTTTGGGTGGAGTCAACTTCGCTGTCCAGGCATCGCTTGTTTTTGTAGTGTTGGTGAGCTCCAAACGAGCAACTGTTCAAGCGTTCAAGAATCAATGTTATCTGTGCGTTGAGGTGTAAAATGTCACGGCTGTGACATGTCTGATTAGTCTCACTTTCCACCATATTGTAAGTAAGAAATGGCCAGTGCTCTGGATTTTTGCAAGATATTGTAGAGCAGATTCAAGAGATTCCATAGGTACTAAAATTGTATGTTCTAACTATTCCCCCCACGATAAAAGTTGAGAATACTATTTCGCCGCAACCTTTCATTGGATTAGTCATCAATCGTGAAATTTGAAATCACCGATTTAGCCCTACAGTCATCCACCTGCTAATGATACACCCAAAATGAGAAATTAGCTTCAACAGATTTGAGCACAACCTTTCTCTACAAAAACTACATGAAAATCTCAGATAAATTCCCGTCTATCACTGTACCAAATTTCAGAATGTTTGACCCACATTTCACAAAGAAAAATTAAGATTATGGGTGTATCATTGAGGGGTGTGACTGTATTTGGCTATTTCTGAAAAACAGTCCATTTTGTATGCTCCACAGCTTTGCCAATTCTGCCTCAATTGCATCCAAATTATGTACGGTGGTAGATATGAGTTTGTACTACTTGTTACAACTTGTTTCATAAAAATCGGTGTAGTATTGAGTGAGATATTGGCTAGTCAAAAGTGTATCAAATGGGGGTGGCATATCATTAAGGGGTGGATGACTGTATCCCTGATTATTCAGCTAATATATCACTCATATATTATACAAGGGGGTGCTGGCATCGAAAAAAAAGACCCGATTTTTTTGTTAAGGCGACTTGGGGGGGACTAACTAACTAACGTAATCAGGCACGTGTCTATAAATAGCAATATGACATCATCTGCATGAGTGCTTCCCCCCGTGTCCTCTCCCAGAAGCCACACAAGCCATGCAAACCCAATTCCGGGGCGCTTGCGCAAGTTCCACACATTTGAGATGGAACTAGGCATATAACGTGAGTCATAAACCCACTGAGCTCTCATGAATCAATGTACTTACCCACTGTGTCTCACAACCAGCTTGTTTGCATTTGAGTTGCATTTGTGATATCGCTTTTGTGCTGCTTTCATTTTCGCCACTATTTTCACCACCGCTTTCAGGGTTCGGATTGCTATGAGGCTGTTGGAGCATAGAAAGTAAGTTTCTGTCATCAATCCAAAGGTATTGATACTAATTTGATAGACTCACGGTGCATGCTGGAAGTCCATGGACTTTCACACAGGAGTGTATCAAGTCTTCCCCAACCTCGTCATATGAGACATACTTTATATTTTTCAATATTGTTTGTGTTGTCAGTCCACGGCAAAGTAGTTTGCTGGTAATGAGGATGCGAGTGCGCAATAGTGCGACCCAAATATGGCAGGAAACAAGTAAATACCCTATATCACTTGTTTTTCTGCTGCTGTATGGCTTCTATTGGAGCTGTAGTCATCCTAGTACATTCTGTAGTTATCACAGGTACTCATTTTGATAATATAAGGCCCTCTGCTCGAGGTGTCCATTTTTTTTTTCGCAGCCTGTGGCTGGACCAACTAACCAGAACCCGGTACGGGATTCCCGGGCCGGCACCCCCTTGATATTATATTGCTGATGCATTGCAAAAAAATCGCGTAGTGACAACCTTTTCGGAATCAGCTGTAAAGTGTTTTCCTCTCAGGTATTTGAACACATCCAATCAACGAAAAACACCGGTCTTATGAGCCCTGGCATGTATATATAGTGGCAGAGTTTCCCCATGCTTCTCTGTCCACTGCTGCAGACACCTTTTCAACACGAATTTAACAATGTCTCTCCCTGCTGGCATCTACTGTATCTCTCATGGCACGAACATGCTCAGATTTTAACCCTCAAGGAGGACCATGTCACTGTCCTTCAACCTCCTGGTGGGGTGCCTGAAAGGAATCAGGACATAACTGTAGCTTTTTTACAAGCCGTGGTCTACCACTAACCAATGTTTCTTTACAGTGGGCAGTCGAGACCTAGAGGACAGAAAAACTGCCATCTGTCATGGCCCTGCCAATATCTTTCCTTCCTGTTCCCTTTCTTATGAAGGGGAGGCAGAGGAGTCATACCTGGTTGATACCTGGGCGCTTTTCCGACTTTCTGACTTTCCGACTCGTGAATGGCGCATTGAACGTGCACCGCAGAGGCCATTGCCTATACCTTACTTTCCAGCTCGCCACCCCGATGTTTTGCTTCACTGATTGTTAACTTTTCCTTCGGCAGTATTCGGGGATGCCCCTGACAAAGATCTCATCGTTGTTGCTTCCTCCCTCCACATTTGCCCGCCCCAGGTATGCTATTCTCATTCAACCTGGACTTCTTGGTCTGATCCTTTTGTAGCTCGCACTTGGGGCTTCTAACATCAGTTTGCAGAACGCATGGACGTTTGCATCAGGAAAATGACACACTGTCTGATCTGTCTGATCTGTCTGATCTGTCTTGTGTAAGGCACATAAGACGAAATCAGACAGATTTGATGAATCTTATTAAAGCTATGTACCTTTCGGCACAAGGCACAAATGTCTGACACAAGACAGTTAAGACACCCCAGACACTAGGCATTGCTGTCTGGTGCCAGACATCACCATCTTACTCCAGTCAACAAGATATTTTTCAGGATTTTCAGATGGTTTCATTTGGTTCAGTTTATTGTCATATAATACATTATTACAGGGATGTACATATGTAGATGGAAGCTACGTAGTAGACTACTACCCACAGTAACAGGGCCTGCCGAATTGATCGAAATGGTACAGTATACTGGACAACATCCACGACTCGGCAACGCAGTCTATGCACGACTCACGACTCAGAGGTTGGGGATATCACCACGTGCTTACAACAATGCCCCCTCACGCTCGACTCGCCTCCATTTTGTGTTCCTTTGTCCAGATGACCCTTGTTGTATGTGATCGTAATGCGAGTTGACATTCTAGTTGGAGGCAGAGGCATTGAGGATACCGTCGGTGTCGATGGCAACATATAAGTGAAACTGCCGACGAGGACAATCTTGTGCATGATCTTGGAGTCGTGGAAGACCTTCTTGGTGGGCTGCGTTTCGTGTGAGCCGCTGACAGAAAAGAATCTACAAAAGTTAATGGGTGGTGAGAGCAAGGACCTGGGGCAGGCGCTGGGGGACTGACCTCGGTGATGGTGTCTGTTATTTCATGTGCGCCGCTGGAGTAGGCCTACAATGTTGTTGGGTGGTGAGGGCATGGACCCGGAGCATGCACTGTGGGACTAACCTCAGAATAAACCCAACATACCTCATGCTCGTGGGTCACCCTCACATTTCATACCCATTTCCGGCCCGCCGATAATCCTTCCATGATGTTGAAACCTTGACCTGCATCCCTCGCTGGAGAGGAGAGGTCACTTGCGTTGCTGGCATTGAAGGCGAATGCGCGAGTTCTAAAAGCAAGTACACAGTTAGAAAACACAATTTATATACAAACCACATACCTTTCGCCAAGTCCCGGCGCATCCATCAAGATGGGAGGTTGTGAAAGCATGTACTGAGGAAGGGTAGTGAGGGATACAGTGTTAGTGGGAGGCATACACATGGAGACTTTCACAAGCGGCTCCACGCACCTGCAGGTTCCATCGGGCGCAGGCTATGCGACTTGGAGGTGTATATCAAATACAAGCTGAAAGCATCAGTAGGATGAGCCGAAGGAGAGAGAATGGTTACCTGGGCATATTGTGGCGAGAACCACGACACTTCAGAATCTGTTGTGAGGGAATGTGGGTAGGGGTGTGGTTGAAGTCAACAACTGTTTGGTTTCTATTTGCGCCATGTTCAACTTCGATGAAGCAGAGTTTGAACGACCTTAAAGATCTTTTGAAGTCAAGTCACTTGTCCGCCGCACAACAAAATTATGCATGCGACTCACAGTGTTGTATTATGACAATGTCTTACATGGGACATTGGGCTAAGTAGTAAGCTTAGGAACCATGTTTTGCTGCTGACACCTGCCACGACACCATGAAGGCATCCAAGGTACAGAGAAAACATAGAGGGCTTGACGCCGTCTGAAAGTGTCTTAAAAGTGTCTGACTGAAATCTTACTGACCGTCTGGTGAACCGTCTGATAGAATCAGACAAAACGTTCGACGCAAGACCAAATAAGGCCCCAGATCAAACCAAGACCGAAATCAGCCCGATTCAGCCGTGATCAGACGTATAAGCTCAATCAGGCAAGTTGTCATTTTCCTGATGTGAACTCGTCCGTCATCATTAAATAAAGCGGATTTTTGATTCAGCTTTGGTGGACTGGGTTTTGACGTGTATTAAATTGAAGCCGTCATGGACGCCATTTGGAATGTCCAGATACTTACGAATCTGTTTTGTACCATAGTCTGTGGTATGAATCTCCAAAAGAAAACACCAAGAAAACACTTGGGAAACACCGGGCACAGCCACATCCTTTTTCAACAACTCGGACATCAACGTTTCAAATTTCGACCACAACCTACCTCAACGCTCTCTGTGTATTCAAGTGATAATTTCTCTATAGATCTGAGTGAGTATCAAAATCTTCTTTGGGAACCGTGTGGGAGGCTGATGGGTAAGTACCTTCTAAAGGAATTTGACCCGACATGACATTCTGTGCAACGTTTATTGTCCAAAAAGGCACCTTAGGCCCCGAGTTGTCCTGCACCGACACCGGAGGCATGCACCAGGGCAGTTGAAAGTCAACTGCCATGGTCATTGCCTCCGGTGCGATTCCCTGCCAATGTACACACCTGGACATTAAAGGATGTTCTAGATCTCAAAACTTGCTCTGCCAGTGGTCTCGAATGCTCAATAGACAGTCCGGTGGGAGGGAAAACTAGGTATGTTCCGGTCTCTTTCGCAAGCAATTTGCTCATTCATCTGGTTTCAAGTGGAAGTGGCTTTGCAGGCGCTTCTAGCCACCAACTAATCGAACTTTCAAGCTGTATGTAACAGTATGACACTACCTGGACTATGCGATTCTCCCCCGCTGCGCTTCCACATGCCCTATCTCACCAAAGCTTCCCTTTGGGACTTCCGCTTGCTGCACGTTCTACTTTCAAGCGCAGCCCTTGCGCATGTCTCCGATCTTGAAGGAAGAGTTCTGTGCCCGCTTTGATGATCTGACTACAAATTTGACACGACTCGCTACGGTCACACGGTCACAGTGGAGTATCAACGACCTAGCTCCAATGTGTTCCCGCGGCTCAGCTCCTCCTTATCATCCAGCCCACCTTCCACTTCTCCAGCTTGACCACTTTCTCACTTCTGATATAGACACGAACATCTAATGGGCATGGCAAAATCAATTGCCTTCCCGTTGCTCTTTCCTGATCCCCGCTCTTTCCACTCCTCCACCTCTCCTCCGTGGATGCTCAGGATTGTTTGAACTTGCTTCCATCAGCTGCGTGCGGGTCGTTGACTGAGTCCACATCAAGCCGGTTGTGGCGGACATCAAGCTGCCGCTGCTCGCCTTTGTTAGCGCTTCTTTGGCGCCCACAGTGATGAGCTTTCAAGTTGATGCATATGATCTGTCACGCTATGTCAAGATCAGGACACATTGAAAGCCACGAACCAACCACGCTCAATACGAGCTTTGATTTGGGGTACGAAATAAAATCAAACGTGTGCAGTACCACTTATAACTATTGCCCAGCTGACCAATCGTTATCTAGTGGGATTCGACGACGGACTTTAGCCTTATGATTCGCGCGATATGCCTCGATATGCTTCTTATATTTCCATTCCAAGTCTAGTCCAAGGATATTGAGAGCCACGAATCAACCCCGCTCAATACGAGCTTTGATTTGGGGTACGAAATAAAATTGAACGTGTGCGGTACCACTTATAACTATTGCCCAGCTGACCATTCGTTATTTCGACGACGGACTTTCGCCTTGAGATTCGCGCGATATGCCTCGATGTGCTTCTTATATTTCCACTCCAAGTCTAGTCCATCGGCAATGTGATGCGCGTTAAGGTTCTCTGTATTGATTCTTCTGATTAGATGCTTACTGTTTTCCAATGACAGAGTTGTCGAGGTTGGCTTCATCTTCCACGATTTGGAAGTATCGAATCAGGACTTTCCTTCTCAGGGCATGAACGAACCACCGGTACGAGCTGTGGAATGCAGTATATATAAAGTGGCTATCTCTGACAATTCTTCATCCACTTTGAACGTCCCTCAAACACGAACACAATGACTCTTCCTTCTGGCATCTATCGTATCACCCAGTGGGGGTCCCATGATCAGCCTCAGGTTTTGACCCTTCAAGATGAACTCGTCACCGTCCTTCCTCCTGGTGCGGCGCCTGAAAAGGATCAAGAGGTAACTCTCTGACACAGTCGTGGGTCCGTCGCTTACCGATGCCTCCAGTGGGGAGTCAGGGTTCGAGAGGATGGACTCGTCGCCACTGTCCAGAACCCTGCCAACCTCTTTCCTTCTAGATCCCTTTCTTATGAAGGAGACGCGGAGAGGGGCAAAAGGGTCATCCCAGGGCCCTTCACTGACTTTCCAACCCGTTTCTGGCGCGTTGAACCTGCACCGCAGCTGCCTTTGCCTGTACCTTACTTGTCAGCGCACAACCACTCCACCCTACTGATTTAGCTGACCTCCGAACTGGCAGTATTCGAGTTCCCGACAAAGATCTCATTGCCGCAGTCTCCGACATCCTCATTTTTCCACCCGCGGTACGTCATTCCTGTATATCTGTAACCGCATGGCTCTCATCTTCTTTCAGCTCGCGCTTGAGACCGGTAGCTTCGATCTGAAGAATGCATGGGCATTTGAACTCCTCCGCCCAAATTAAATTGGTCGTTCGTTGTTGCTTCGGGGGCTATGTTTTGACGCATAGTAGCTTGAAGTCATTGTAGATCTTCTCTCGCCTGTACCGACATTTCTGTATCCCTGGGAAATTGAGACAAATGTCGCAGTCAAGTTGAACAAAGAGTTTATTTCACCGTATGGGTGTGAGTTTGCAGGAAAATCGACCTCGCACATCGAGGAAAGCGTTGAACAAGAAACAGCGGCGAGTAAGTAAACTTCGAGTGTTTGTCGGAAAATTCCGAATAATAATGCCCGGGCCATTGGGGCCGGTCGTTTTCCGTCAACATTTTACCCCTTGACGACGACGACCAGCGACCGGCAACCCAAACTTGGCCTCATCATCTCTCCCCCTCACCGAGTCATAATAAACTGGCTTGGACAACTTTAAACTCCAGTTGTACGGCATACCCGTCTGGCTGAATATAGGCGTCTCTCTGAGCCAGAATGTGACCGAGATTCGGCGAGAAGGAGGAGTGAGTCCCTTCGTGGCCCACTGAGAGCTCGTTTCGCAACTTGTATGGACACGTCAGCTCCAGCGGTGTACAAAGAACTTCATCTCCTCCACAACCTACGCCCTCCTTATCATCAAATGCACCCTCATCACAACCGCCTCCTCATCTATTACAGCTGCCCCGCATTCGCCTCTGATTTTAGCACGAACCCCATTGCAAACACGTCCTTTTCCTTTGCGTTTCCGAGATTGCAGCTTGGGAAACCTTCTCTCCTTCACGTTGCTAGTCTCAATTTTCTTAGTTGGTAACCTGTCTGTCTGCAGACCATATGAGCTCACTGCGCAATCAGGCTATTGGGTGAGTTTCAATCTATGCCACTGATTATTTTCACTAATTAAATCCTCAGTAGCATTGTAATGTCGGGACGGCAAGCCAGCACCGCGATTTGGCTAACGCGTCATACCACACGCTTCTGCTTTCAATTTTACGCTTTCGATTTAATGGTCTGATCGCAAGTTTGACACGACATGCTCTCTCCGAGAATCAACGACTTGATTTCGGGCATCCAAACCACCTTCGTTCCCTTCATCAGGACCACCTGGTTTCTTTCTGATTTCAACACAAACCTGGGTGACGCCGGCGGCCGTTGGCTTTCGCCTTCCCGCTCCTCCATCAAACGCATTGATTAACTCCTCCACATGCCATCGGGATTTTTTAACCCACTTTTTTGGTTGTAGGTGAAGCTTTTGATCGTAAGGATTTGAAGTATTGCGAATGACTTAGAGCTCAGTTTGGTGTGCAATACTCTTACCGCAATATCCTTACCGTGACACCGACCCACTGCCAAATCGAGTCTGCGTTCCAATCGGGTGGAATTTGATTCAAGTGCTTCGCTCCGGGAATTGCGACATGATGCGCTTTGCAAATGGCACTGAAGGACTTTCGCACAAATTTAAAAGACTTCTTAATGCTCAATGGCGCTTCGATCCCAGATCCACTGGCAGTTGTTCTGATATTGACGCTCCACCTACAATGATCTGAGCATATCAATCCTGGAATTCCGCTCTCATGGTATTCATCAAGTCAACGCCGAATACCGGTATGAGCCGGGGAATGCAGTATATTTACCAGAGTGACCATATCTACTGATTGTTCGCCCCTTTTCAGACAATTTCTTTTCACGAAAACAATGACTCTTCCAACCGGCGTCTATCGTATCGTCCAGTGGGGACAGCCGCAGCTTTTAACCGTCGAAAATGGACACGTTACCGCCCTTCCTCCCGGTCGTGCGCTTCTACGGGGCCAGGAGGTAAGTCTGCTCATAGACAAGCTCGTGGTCCGTGACTGACCAGTGCTAACAGTGGTTCATCAAAACCCTAGAGAACGGCACGGTCGCCATCTAGAACCCCACCAGCTTCTTTCCTTCCAGCTCCCTTTCTTACGAAGGAGAAGCGGAGGAGGGCAAGAAGATCGTACCTGCACACTAAGCCGACTTTCCTACTCGCGAATGGCGCGTTGAAGTTACGCCGCAGAGGCCACTTCCCGTCCATTACTTGTGGGTCTACAACCCCGATCTTTCACTCCGCTTGTTGTTAGATTTCTCCCTCACGAACTGGAGTCTGGTAGTATTCGAGTCCCTGACAAAGATCTCATCGTCGTCGTTTCCCCCCTTGATATTTTCGCGCCTCAGGTGTGTCGATGGCCCATTACATTCTAAACGCATAGTCCTGAACGTTTTGTAGCTCGCACTTGCCACTTGGGCCTGCTGGAAATAGCTTGCAGAATGCTGGTCATTTGAACTTGTCCAAGCGGAGTGAATTGGTGTTTCGGCTCAGGGGGCAGCGCGTTGTCGGACAAGTAGCAACTTAAGATTGTGTACGATCATATAAAGATTGTGTCTCCTTTGCGCAGTGTACCGATGCTTCCAATAAACTGTAACAATATTTTTGGTACCGCAGAGAGGCAGAGATATTCATGAGCACAGCCACATCACTTTTGCTACCACGATGATTCGGTTATCCGCCACTGGCAAGGGCGCTGAACTGAAGGCGATCTCTAATTGGATTGCGTGAAACTGCTTCGTTCTATTCCCGGTTCTCCGACACCGATTAATTGCCAGCGTCCGCCCCCCGATCGCAGCTCGGTACCTGTGGAATGTCTTGCCAGCTCAACGCGGTGTCGCCGTGTCGGTGAGTTATGGACCACTATATGACTATATGTGTGCCACTGATTTGGTCTTGAGTGGAACTTTGACGCCAGGAAACATTCCACTTTAGGATGACTGCACGCTCTATCTGAACAGTGAATAGTGGCCAGCCCGAAGTTCAACCTTCCTCTCCCTGTAGGGCCTTTGCTAGCGCTTTCGAGTCAAGCCGTCCTGACTGCGAAGGAAGACAACCTCTATCACAAATGATGTGTTTAAAGCTCACCGGGGTGAGACTTGCGCCCACCTCGCCTCTGCAACTGCGCTCCATTAACATCCAGGTCACTTCCTTACCTTTCGAGAATAGGTTTATTGGAGAGGGCCTATTTTTGGAAGAGTTTACGCCATTGGTGAGAGGGTGGACATGCGCTAATCAAAGGGTAGTGTGGAAAGGCGAAGGACTAGGGTCTCTTTGCGCTAGCGGCTCATGGCCAAAACCAGAGGAGAAGACGGTCTGGCGGTCTCAACCCTGTTTTCTTACGTGCGCTGCGGACGCGTTACCCTGTATACTAGAGCATTGACATTTCGGTTCAGCTTTAACTCCTGTTTTTCCCTAACGACCGCCCGACCTCTCCTCTGGCTTTGGCACACTTGACCTTTTCGTCCTACTTTTCCCAGTGGCGACGTTGCGGCTAGGGCATTTTTTTCAAGCTGGCTGGTGTTTCAGGAGCATAGGCGGTTCTTTCCATAGCATGATCTTTCCAGCTAAGGCAGCCTTTGATTCGTTGTGTCAGCTCGTTCGGAGATGGTGACTTCAGACTATCGCACCTGGGCGTAGATGTCCGTCTTAAGCTTACTGTGTAAACTATCGTGCTCAACGGCCTTTCTGACATCGTTGACCATTGGAAGCTCTGTCATCATTTGTCATTTAACTCCTGGCGGAGGACTCGGACGCCAACTTGCTGCGATTTCTCTCTTCCAGTGGCCTCATTTACGCTCTGGGTCCACCATCGCCTCACTCTCCGGCCTGCCTTGACCCTCCACTTAATCCCAGTTCTCTTCTTGATGTTGACGCATGTTCAATTCACTGCTCCCAGTCTCAAAACATGTATCTATTCTCTCATCATCTTTACCTTGACCCATCATGTTGTCGCCCTGAAATACGCTGGAAGAGACAGGCAATATGCCGGCCTTTCTTTGTTCATCTCCTCAAGAATTGCTGATCTGAATTTTTTGTGCGTCCGCCGTCTGCAGGGGCGGTATTCACTGTTCAGCGATACCACAGCCACGCCCCCCTGCCCAACAGTTTTGTGACCGCTTGGGACCGCATTGTACCTGAGGCCGAAGTTTGGATTCCGGCAGCATTGGGTGCTGTATTTCTGGATGGTCAGTTGTATCCGGTCCGAGGGGCAATCTCAATCTTGTTCTTATGGAAGCCGAAAGGGTACTGGTGCCACTGGCAGATCACCTGTCATTCTATCACGTCTTGGCTAGGGTAAGTCGAGGATATACGTACAGCGTCACACTCCCCGAAAGGGGATAAGGCTCATCCTCGACACTGTGTCGAGGATGAGAGCACGAGCAAAACTGCTGGACACATCCAAATTGGGTGAGGTGACGAATGCGATGTCACACCTCACTACCCTCTCTTCTCCCAACCCCCACGACGAGCGCCCACCACGATTGGCCACGAGGACCCACCAGGATCGATGGACGACGACGAGAGCTCACTAACGTCCACGGGGCTCTCCACCAGGATCGACGAACGGCCACGAGGGCGCATCACCACCATCGACGAGGGCCCACCACCAGGATCGATGAATGGACGACCACCCACAACCACGATCGACGAACGGCCACGGGAGCTCATCACCACGATCGATGAACAGCCACGAGTGCCCGCCATGACCACCACCACCTTCAACAAACAGCCACGGGCCCACGACGATCAACGAACCGCCAATAGCTCCATCGACGATTCCACCTATCCTCCACCCCCGCTCCCTTCCCTGCAGGCCCCGCCTCACACACCCCATATCAGCGGACACAACGGGAAATCCACCCAAACACGGACGCCAGCCCAAATGCGACCGTGAACCAAACACGAACACCAGCCCGAACGCGAGTACCCCCACCACGTCCACGTCCATCAAGCGAGCCAAGACACGAGCACCAGCAATGCCTCCCAACAACCTGATGCACCGACAACGTTTGCTATTAGTACGGGGAGTCGAGGACTCAGTATCGGGGAGGGGGCATGCGGCTTGGGCAGGGTAGTGTGGGGATCGCAACTTTAGATTAGCAAGGGTTATTGAAGGGGAGAGGTGGCATCCCTACCTCGCTCCTTCCAATTCCCACTTCTACAGAGTAGGTATACCTTCCCATATACATGTAGATAAGGAATATACATATTACTGCCATTTACTCGAGTACAGAAGGACTTGTGAAAAAAAAAAAAAAGAACTGAAGTTGCGCAAATGAGCAGGCACGCGACGACATATGTTCGACACATCTGAATGTGTCGAACACATGTAAAATCGACACACTAAAAAGGGGGAACACACTGGAGTGCATCAATGTGTCGGCAATTCACCCTATGTGTCGCGTTACTACCCTATGTGTCGCTATCCCGATTTGGGGAGTGTGTTACTTTTCGTATACACTGGGGTAAGTCTGTGGGGAATCCCATGTCTCATCAAGAAGAAGGCTTTTGTGAATGGCGAGGACAGATATGCCTGAATGGAAGATTAGAATGATAAATCAGCCGGAGCTGGTGGAACTGGAGAGGATTTAGCCAAAAATAAATATTGTAACGACAGCGAGAACGAAAGAATATGGATCACTTGACTTGGATGTCGTACATATGACGTTCGAATGAGTCTGAAACGTCGAATGCCACTTGAGCGAGGTAAGTAGCGTGTTAAGTAGAGCTACTGCATACTATACCCTTTACCAATTTTGAAAGATTGTGAAGTTATCTTCAGCCTCCTAAACAATCAAGACGATGCCAAATTTCCAGTGTCCACTATTTTTTTTTGCTGTAAGTTCAACCTGTCGTGTAAATGGGGACACATCAAGAAGCATAAGCACGTTTCTTGCAACGAGAGTAACGCAATTGATCAACTGCAATTTCGCACCCCAAGTCGGTGCTCTGCGCTCTCCATCTGCCGATCGTCCTCATATAGCCTATATCTCCCGCGGAATGCATATATATAGAGGGTGGTTCCAACCACTTCTTCATTCTGCCCAGCCAGTATTTTTCAAACACAATGACTATTCTTCCTAACGGCGTCTACCGTATCACCCAGTGGGGTTCTCATGGCCAGACTCAGGTTTTAACCCTCCTCGATGGGCAGGTTACCGCCCTTCCTCCAGGTGGAGCGCCTGAAAGAGACCAAGAAGTAAGACATTGTTTTCTGATGAGGTAGTGGTTTCTCTCTTACCAGTGATTATAGTGGCGACTCGAAAACCTACCCAATGGCAAGGTCGCCATCCAGATCCCCGCGAAAATCTTTCCTTCGCGTTCCCTTTCTTATGAAGGGGAGGCGGAGGAGGGCAAGAGGATTGTAGCTGGACGCGTTTCCGACTTCCCGACTCGTGAATGGCACATTGAAATTGCGCCACAGAAGCCACTGCCTGTACCTTACTTGTCAGTCCGGACTCCGCAACTCCCGTCACTCTGCTTGTTTAGCTGACATTTGAACCCACAGCATTCGAGTTCCTGAGAAAGATCTCATTGTCTCGGTTTCGCCCATTCATATTTTCCCGCCCCAGGTGTGTTACTCCAGATCATCTCGAGTCGCGTTGGTTTAATTTGGTTTCAGCTTGTACTCTTCCCCGCGAGCATCAGTTTAGAACACGCATGGGCCTTTGAACGCGTTAAAGAATAGAGCGGTCGTTCGATAAGCCATAAAGCAAAGTAGTTCCACGCGTGAAACTTGGAGTCACAATGAGTTTTGTAAGATACTTCTTCTCGTTCGCTTGTGCCTATGTTTTCCTGTTAAGCAACCAATACAAATGTCTATAACTCCGGATCCAATTCAATAGCAAATGTTGAATGTGCAGTTTACCTCGCAGTGTATGATGCTGGTAAACCCGCGGGGAAAGCTTTCCCCCCAATCAACACGGTTTCAAAGCCGACAAGAGCAGAGACAAGCGAGAGACGAAGCTATGAGAGGACCTGAGGGTGGGGAGACAGGAGGAAAACGGAAGGTGCCGACACGTGCTACATCCGCAAAAGTTCGCCATGATAACAAATGGTGAAAGAAAGCGAACAGTTGCTCAATCCGACTGGTGGCTACCACTTTTATCATATAAAACAGGTAACTGCCTATAGGTCCCTGTGTATCCATCCACACTCCTTATGATAGGGAATCATTACTGTTACCATGTTTTTTCATTATCATAAAGGCTGTGCTTTTTCATTAAGTGTAGGCAAGGTTTTGGGCCTCCCTCATAAGGTAGCCTGTGGTTATCATTACCAATTTCATATCTTTTCAAAGCCATATCATTGCGATTTTCATTAGTTGTCTGGCAAGTATCATTGGATATTTCATTAGCTACATGGGTGATATCATTTTGCGATTTTCAATGGTTACTTTGGCAATATCATTGGAAATTTCATATGCTACTTGGGCAATATCATTGCGATTTTCATAAATTATGTGGCCAGTATCATTGGAAATTTCATTAGCTGGTTGTGCAATATCATTGGCAATTTCATTAGCTACTTGGGTGACATCATTGTGATTTTCATTAGCTACTTGGGCAATATCATTGTGATTTTCATTAGCTCCTTTGGCAATATCATTGGAAAATTTATTAGTTACTTGGGCAATATCATTGTGATTTTCATTAGCTACTTGGGCAATATCATTGCGATTTTCATTAGCTCCTTTGGCAATATCATTGGAAATGTTATTAGTTACTTGGGCAATATCATTGGCAATTTCATTAGCTACTTGGGCGACATCATTGCGATTTTCATTAGCTACTTGGGCAATATCATTGCGATTTTCATTAGCTCCTTGGGCAATATCATTGGAAAATTTATTAGTTACTTGGGCAATATCATTGTGATTTTCATTAGCTACTTGGGCAATATCATTGGCAATTTCATTAGCTACTTGGGCGACATCATTGTGATTTTCATTAGCTACTTGGGCAATATCATTGCGATTTTCATAAATTATGTGGCCAGTATCATTGGAAATTTCATTAGCTGGTTGTGCAATATCATTGGCAATT